AAACCTTGTATCTTTTCATCTTTTAGTGCAAAATTCAAATTAAACTTCAGTTGTTGAAAAATGATATAGACAGATAGATAGAAGTATGCATTTTTTCTTTCTTACCAGAGCATACATCAGAACTCTGATTATCTACACACAAAAAATTTAGAACCTTTCAACGTGGATAATACACACACAACTACATTTCAGGTAAAAAAAAAGGAAAAGCATTGTGCTGGATAATTAAAATAACATTGAGTCCATTGCAATATTCTGCCAAAATACATTTCATTTAACATGCACAGAAATCTTTCTGAACACTCAATTTAAATCACTGCCCTACAGTGTATCTTTTCCATTACCTTTGAAGTCAATCAGCATGGAGTTTGAGAGAAGGCTAGGAATTGGAACGAATGTCCCTAAAACACTTTGAGCTCCTCAGATGAAAGGTGTTACTTAAGTACAAAGTATCATAATAATTTCAACATAGTTTTCAACTCCATTACTTCCATGCCACCACTGAAAGCGACTTCATCTGTTTGGTGCTTTGAGGCATATATAATCCTTAAATTGGATTTCTCTAATAGGGTGTAAATTTGTTTCATAAAACTAGTTCAGAAAAAATATCATCAAAAGAAGAATATTCCATAAACATAACATTCTGTGTTTATAAATAACAGAAAATCTCTCTATTTGGAAGAAAAGGACAAAGTTACCAAAAGGTATTTGCTCCTGAAGAAACTGAAAAGACTACTTTTCCCCATTGCAGAACATTCTCAATGCTTTTTTCTCTTAATATGGAATCAAGTACCTGGTAATACCAGTGGACTGGGGGGTACAGCGAATACTGTGGCATGTTCGTCCCGTAGTTTACATGTTCAAATGGCAAAGAAAATTGAGGCATGGATGCAGCGCGAATTATTTTCTACTCAAAAGGCATTCTCGGTTTGAGTAATAAAATTTGTGGATTATAGAGAAATGTTATTCCCCCTTTTAAGAATTCATTTTAAAATGATCATTCTGTTGTTTTCTCTCTTCTTTTGATCTAAATAATTTTACAAAAGCAGTACCAAAAGTATAGTATCTTTTCAAAAATTGAATCATTACTGATAATACTGGTAAATTTCACTATATTCATCCCAAAATTTCCATATTGGTCCCTTTACCAAGGGTCCATTGGTCTCCTTTGCCCCCGCCTTGGGGTAATCATGGTCATTAGTTTGGTGAATATGATTTCAGCATCATTAAAGTACTTTTATTATAAAATATGTTCTCATTATTCATTTTTCTACATTTGGTTTCAATCTTTAAGAAACAAACTGTCTTATTAAGATGAGAAAACAATACTATTGTACTATAATGAGCACTTTTCTGTTTTCTTGTTAACTTATCTGCAGGTACCAAAGTTTCTATCATGTAACTTTAAACATTTTCAGTGATTCTGAACTCACCTCGCTTCTCAGAAGTGGGGGTGCTCTTGTGGGGGGACCCTCCTAACACAGCTCTGCTTGCACAGGATGAAAGGAGGTTCTCCCGATGGCATCACGCAGGAGCCTCCCCCAGGGCTCCTGGCCCTTCTTCAGCCCTCACCCTCGTGTCCGTCTTCTGCAGACCCCAGGCGGGGAGCCAGCTGACTTCCCTCGGCCTCTTGCTCAGCCGCACAACCCCCTTATGCATGCTAGACTCTAATCCTAGGTGATTCATCACTGCACCGTGGGCCTGGCTAATGAAGCAGTGTCCAAAAATAAACACGATCCATGAAATAAAAAGTGAGGAATCATCACAATGTATCAGGAGATACAGGAAAAAAACCCTTTACAAGTGCCCCAATGACATCTTGAACCCTCCATATCCACACACGACCTCTGGTTGGCTGGCCCCTATCTACCACCAGTGCTGAAGCATATCTACTATGAAAACAGAAGCCAGGGGTCAAAAGTCTCATTTTTACAGTGGAGTAGAAAAGAAAGTCAAACAAACTCTGATATTAAGAAATACAAACAAGTTTTAAGCTAAAAGTTAATACAAATTAGCCTCCCAGTAAGGCAAGATGGAAGCTAAAACCTATACTGTGGAACTGACTACAGTAGCCTGAGACCTAGAACACCCCTGGAAATACAGACCTGGATGGCCAAGCTCCATAGCTGGATGCTACTAGACATGTGTGTTGTGTAACTAAGCTTTATTATCTGGATTCCATGCTCACTACACAATCTTCTGATTATAATCTGGACACCCATGTGTGCTTGCTTGCAAGAAAAATCGAGCTATGTGATTCTAAGGATTCTTACTGAAAACGTATGTATCTTCCTATGTGTGTTATCTATGCACATGTATGTGGATAAATGTATAGATGTATGCTCAGTGTTTTAGCGTGTTTATGGTGATTCATTCCTAAGTGTGTGGACATCAAGTTTTTGAGGCTGCAAATTGAGATTGAAATTCCAGGTTGTGGTAAATTCACAAAAATAATAAAGACCTGTCCCTCCCACTGCTATTTCTGCTTTGACATATTTTTTGACCGCCATCAGAAATAACTATCACCACCACGTGAAAGCTCAGGCCCATTAAAACAAACTAACAAGGAAAATGGCATTGTGTAAATATTATTTTGCACATCCATCCCCAATATCAGGGAACAAGTGGTTGTAAACAAAAAAATCTAGGATACTTATTCTCCCAATAACCCATACCAAGCCTTCTTTGCTTTTAAGGAACACAGGATGAACTCAATACAAATGATAGCTACTGACAGTTGAGATCTTACAGCCAGTAAAAGTTTCATAAATATGCATTGGTTGGCAATCAGTTTTCAAACAATCCTCTGAATGGTCAATATTATCCTTATTTTACCAACAAAAATATTCAAGAGTAGAACATGAAGGAACATGTCCAAGGTTTACAGCAAGCAAGAAATGACAGCCAGGGCCAGAAGCTGGCTCTGATTGCCAGACCAGGGTTCCTCGTGGCAGTCCAGCTCACAAGGTGCCTGCGTGGGCAGGCTGTCCCCTACCGTGCACGGCGCACCTGGGGGTCCTGGTGAACTCAGCATTCACTGAGTCGACTTGAGGATCTCTAACTCCTCCATGTGCCCGGATCACCACTTGAAGCACGCTACCAAACAAAAACTAAGTCCAAATTAAACTGAAGCCTGCCTGCCTCCCTTCTCCTTAAATGCTGTCTAAATTATCACGAACCCCTGCCCCTTTCCCATTGCATTAACTAACTGGTTTCCTCTCCCGCCTCCTTAAGGAATGAGCTGCCACTCAGGCAATGGCCATGGACCATGGAGGTCACCTACAAGTGGCCTCTTTATAGTACCGCTTTTCCCTCATAGGCCAAGTGCAGGGTTCCCTGTGCTCTGTGCTCTAGCTCAGCTGAATGCAAACAGAAGCCTCAGCCCACCTACAATTCACCCTTAATTTCATGGGATCACTTCCTTGTGCTTCCTTCTAACTCAGTTGTTCCTAATAGTAAAAGCTTCTTCTATAGATGAAGTAAGACCACTCTCAAGAACCAAGGGATGAAGGACAACATGGAGAGAATAAGTGGATTTTAAAACTTAGGAGAGCAGATTAAGCTCCACCATGCATGCGATCTCCAAGAGAGCTAGCAACATGGATGGTGTTGCCGATGTTGAGAAAGTTGACCTTGACACTTGATGAAACCACAGTTTTAAACCCTAGACACTAATTCCATGATCATTAATCCCAGAATGAAAATATAACCTATTAGACCATACTATGGGCCACTATCTTTAAGTTCTGATTATACTCAAAATTACCAGTGAAGAAAAAATATATACACTTACAACTTTAGCACAGATGAAGTAATCCCAATGTTTACACTTTTGTGGAACACATCAAATTAGCTGGACTCCTACATGTGAGTAAACCATGATTTCTGTGAGCAAGGTGACCTCAGTAAATCTCTCAGTGAAATTCTGAAAATATTACTAATTCTTAAGGTTAATATGTATGGTACAGTTAATATCCGACTTATTTACCTCAAGCCATAATATCATAATCAACATCAACATTGATCTTATATTAATTATTTTTAAAAATTGTAGTGCTTGAATTGAGCATCACAGCCCTGCTCTGATGTTACCTCTGTACATTGGAATAGAAACTTCAACAAATTTTATATATATTACAATTTTATCCACTGCCTGTTATAACATAAGTAAAACAATCAATACATACAAACTCAAGAAGACGTGTAGTTATATATAAGTAATGGGTTTTATGTAATTTGAGTCATTTTACCATTAAAAAATGACTTCACTTCAACACATCTCAAACTGCTTCAGCCTGAGGTTCTTGCAGTATAAAAATGTCATAACCAATTTTTATTGTAGTAAATGACAACTCACCATAAAGTGAGCCAGTCAATATCACAGACTCTTTTTAATATTCGCAGGTTAAAAGGAAAATTGACATAGAACACATAATTATATAACTAAAGATAATGTCTGCCAGACCTTGCAAATGAATACTTGGCTGCTATGGCCTGTTTTCCTTTCATCACAACTCTTAGGAATTTGCATTTCTAAAAAGAGATTACACTGCTTTATACTAAGATCCATTTGCTTTAAAAATTATAATTTCCAGAACAAATAAATTTTTTATTCTACTTCTCCAAAGATCACTTTGATGGATACATTTTACAATTCTACATTTGCCTTTCAAGTTTATTGGGATTCCAGGTATACTGTAATTAGTTTCTTTATACTGATTGCCTCTTAAATTACCCATTTTAGCATACTGGAAGTTCATTTAATTAGCTGTACTGATGATGACCCTGCAGACCCCTGAGTCTACACTTTACTTCTACTGTAGGCTACATTTTAAATTTATGCTCCTTTCGAATTGATGAAATGGAAAGAGTATTGCAAGTTTGATTTGAAATAGAACTGGAAAACGCTTTGAAAAAGTATAAAGCTGTCTTTTAAAAGTTCTTGTACTATGACAATAGAAAACTAAAGAAGAAAAGGAAAATAACAAGCCCTTACTTACCAGGTGTGAAATTGTATCGAGCAGAAAATCCCATAGATTCCAGCTCTCCATCAGCAAAAAATTTAATCCATAGAAATCTTCCACTGGATTTTATTACAGGTGGATTTTGTTGTCCACAGAAACGTCCAATTATTGGAGAAAATCCAAAAGGTCCATCACGAACTTCAATATGATCAAATTTGCATTCCCAAGATGGTTCAATAGAGTAGTTGTCATCAAAGTAGAGTTCAATGCACTGTCTTGGGGCAGCTAAGAAAAAGAAAGATTATGTCTACAAGACCCTTTTTAAATATTTCATTTGATTTTTCTGATTCTACTTCAGATTTTATCTGTGGACCTTCTACCAAACTTTCGGTGTGACATGCATGGAGATGCAAAGCATGGATTCAGCATTCTAAGGGGTAATATTTCCATAGGACTGTCTAAGAATAAGCCTTAAAATTGATGATGTTGCACGAAATATTATTCTGATAGTAAATCTTGATGTCTAACACAGAACTAACAAATCCTAGTATTTCTATGAAAGGCTAACATCAGTTTTAGAAAGTGAAGAGGGGTTTTTCCACTACTGCTGTCGTATTTTCTGGAGCGCCCAGGTTAAAGGTCAGAAACCACTTGAGAATTGTGCAGCATAGTTATACAATCATTCAGAGTCCCAATCGGATGTCTGTATTAGATGGTGCTGCAAATACAAGGATATTAACAGTAGCGCTTCTAGAACACAGATTTTATGTCACTGTGAGCTTTAAACTTATTCAGCAACTCTCTTGTCAGTTACAGGAAAATGATCAATGCATTTAACATACAGGATCCATTAGGGTGTCCTACACCCCACACCTCCAGGGTCTTCTCACTTCACAGCCCAAGCTCAGGCCCCTGAAGACATGCCATACTTTCTAAGAAACATGCCCTTTCAGGCCTTCATGGATTTTCCCACTTTCTTGAGTATCTAATACCTCCAAATTGTTAACTCCTATTTATGCAAGAAAATGTTGCTTAAAAGAAACCTCCTCTCTAAATCTACTAACTGAAGACAAAAACAGTATCTATTCACCTTTTTTAGCACTAAGTACAATATTTCTCATAAGGGTGACATTAACAATGTTCTCTTTAGGTTTCACTGAGTTGTGAGTGAAATTACCTTCTAAATGTTACTATAGCCCTTGAAAGAATCATGAAGAAAAGCCTTACAGAATGGATATTCTGTAAGCCTTCACATGGATGCGTTTGCCAGTACCTTTCCAGTCTTCCCTTGTTATGTCCAAAACAGTTCAAAATTCTGGCACTCCAGACTGACATTCAAGCAGGATATCCCAGCACAGCCGTAATGGTTGTGGAAATATCCACACACATCCATCCTAGTTAGTAAACAGCTGTTGCCTTGAGTCCTCGGAACGTCTGCCTGCCTCCTGGCCTTCTTCAGGGACCAACTGCCTCCAGAAACTCTAAAGTTAAGACTTCTGGCACATGGGGAGCCTCCCCATGTAGTTGATAATCATTTTAAATGACTGCTGTCCACACCACACCAGTTCTTAAATGTATAATGAATATCACCCTTGATGGCTTTAAAATTCAAGTCTTGTATGCAAGGATGTCAGACACTTATGTAGAATTGAGATGCATGATCACTTGGAAGTTAGAGACTTAAAGAATAAAATTTAATCCTGATGCTCTTTAAGAATAAAATTGAAGATCAATTGGTTAAAGGTCAATGCATGTTAATAGACTATTTTAAGGATTATTTTTAACCTCTAAAAATGTTTCTGGCTCTTTGGACATTTAAAAGACACATTGACTATTCTTATAAGAAAAATTAGGAACGGTTTTATCTAACTGATGTGTATGACAAAGATCAATAAATATAGTATGGACCATACCAATAGATTTGAGGGACTTTAAAGGTTTTAATTTAAATATGCAAGTTGGAAAATATTCTATGAAATAACCTGGAAAACCATACTATCCTGTTAAAGTATTAGTCTAATAACAAAAGGCAAATACTGAAGAAACTGGACCTATTTATGTATGAGTGCTAAGTATGTCATTTGTGTGTATTGCTGTCCTATAGAACATGTCTGCTTGTTGATCTGGCCTCTGATAAGCCAGTAGGATAAATTGTATGAAGAAACGAACTATTTCAGAATGGGGGGATATTTCTTTAGATGTAACTCATGTATCGCTAGAGAACAGTCATGTGCTAATTTACTTAATAGTCTATAAGCATCCATCATCTATCATTCCCTTTAGGAAGCACGTGGCCATCTCACATGGATTCATTAACTCACACCTCCATTTTCATCGTCACTGAGGTTCTGTCCAACGTGGACGAATGAACTTCTCAACGTTCCTTCCAGAAACAGGCTATCTTTCCGGCTTTTGCTGAGCCAGGTTATACGCTCACAGTTCATTTTCCTTTGGTCCAGCATGTTGAAGTAAATAAACTACACACCCCCATACTAAATTCCACCAACTGGATTTTAGATGGCAGCAAAGTGACTCTTTAAAATAAGTCAGTCATATAATTCTTGTCGTAGATTTTTAAAAATGAGTCCTTATGGTACAGGCAAACCACTGGAAGCTATTCAGGGCTAACTGCATAAGCACGTTTTCTTCCCCTTTAAACTTCTTCATTCTCCTGCTTTTCAACTTAACATTTTCTATAAGGTATCTTCACTCAAAGAGTGAGGTTCCTTTTCGAGAGGCCTACACCACTTTGAGAATCTTTGAGCACATTAAGAACTGAGCACTTCTGCCCGAATAAACTACACACCCCCCATACTAAATTCCACCAACTGGATTTTAGATGGCAGCAAAGTGACTCTTTAAAATAAGTCAGTCATATATTCTTGTCGTAGATTTTTAAAAATGAGTCCTTATGGTACAGGCAAACCACTGGAAGCTATTCAGGACTAACTGCATAAGCACGTTTTCTTCCCCTTTAAACTTCTTCATTCTCCTGCTTTTCAACTTAACATTTTCTAGAAGGTATCTTCACTCAAAGAGTGAGGTTCCTTTTCGAGAGGCCTACACCACTTTGAGAATCTTTGAGCACATTAAGAACTGAGCACTTCTGCCCGAACAGCGCACATGTATACAGAATACCGCCTCCCGTGCAAGGGAATTTCAGGACAACCTGAAATACAGAAAATGGAACCTCCTTTCTGCGACTGAGACTCCACCTGTAATTATCACTATCTCAGCTCATAAACTTGACCGATTATTTATCCCTTTTTTCCTTGTACTTTAAATTTACCTTTGCCTACAGAGCAGGCTCTTCATTTCAGAATTAAATTCGACACTCTGTCCCATTGAAAGGTGAAAAGACAAAAAAAAAAAGAAAGTGCCTTTGTCCCACGAGTTCATCGATGCCGGCCCATCCTCTGCGAGCTGCTCGCACCTGCACAAGGTCAGGGCCGCCACACACCCTAGCGTTCTCTTCGTGGCCTCCTTCCACACACGCATTCGCGTTCGCCTTGTTTTTCTTTGCTGCGCCAACTGTTTCTTTGGCTACTTCCTGCTTCCTGAAACACTGACCTCTCTTGCTGCTGTGAGGTCTTCTACCTGATTCTCCAGTCCATCTCTGGCTTTTTCTTCACAGTCCCTGTCCCTCTCCTTCTTTGCTCAGCCCTCCGATGTTGCTCTCTAGAAACATATCCTGTGTCTTCTTCCCCTCTTTCTAGGCTAGTCTCTGGGTGCCACTGGCCTCCGCGCGCAGAGCTATCCCAACAGCATGATGCCTGCAGCTCCATCTAGGACCGATTACATCACAATTCCTGGGGCACACCCAGGCATCTGCATGATCTGAAGAACTGTGTTCCACGTATCCTCTCCAAATTACTCTGTTCCTACTAACAGCCTCAACAGCAGTCTTAAACTCATGATCTGTGAATATATCATTTCAGCCCAGAACTGTCCACCGAGTGAAAGATCCATAGAGCTAGTCTCTTTACGAGACATCTCCATAAACACCAAGGTTGAACATGAATGCATTATTTTTCCTTTTAACTCTTTCTCCACCTATATTCCTTACGTGCCACAGTAATTCCATCTAACAAGTCACCAAGCCAGAAACTGCAGGGTAGTCCCAGGACCCCCATTTTCTCTTCCCTACAGCCAGTCATCCTTAAATTCCCCCCATATCTGCCTGTGATTACCACCACCAGGTCACTGCTATAGTCCAGGCTGTCCTGTGGTTCCCTCGCCCTTTTGCTCACATCCTTTGCCTTCTGCTACTCCACCCAAATCTCACCTTACTGTTTTCCCCTTCACTTACTTCACTGGCACCCCACAGTTGGTAACACAAAGTCCAAATTTGCATGACCAGAACAGTGGAGCAGCAAACTGCCCCTCTCAGACTGCCCACCACCATCCTCGCCCTTCCCTCCTTGCCCTCTAGAGAAGCCCCGTGCTAACACACGCGGGCTGGCCACAGCAAGCCTCCACACTTGTGCACACACTCTTCAATATCGAGAATGATTGTCTCCTAGATGGTTTCCAAAACTGAGCATAGCCCTCTCTTCCTTCTCCCTATTCTAAATACTGTGATAAACTGGGGGCCTATTTAGGTTGTTTACTGAAAGGGCAGAGTCCCCAGACCATTTTATAAGTTCCCATGTCTGCTTTGTTCAATACGCTCTAGTCTGTACCTAGAAGAATGGTCGTTTCTTAGTAGTTGTTCAACAAATATTTGTTTAATAAGTGTACGGATGAAAAAAGTGGCTAGTATGAAGTATTTCAAAAAGGGTATGAAAGAGTGATTAATAGAAACAGCAGGTTCTATTTGGTTTCCAACTTTAAGTTTTGCTTTTGACACAACTAAGAATAAATGCAATTATGTGCATGATGTTAAAATCAAGTATCAGCAATGTTTCTTAATTTTATAATAATAAAAATGAAAGCAGAATGAATATGTAAAGATTTGTTCCTGAATTAATCCTTTAAATGAAAGAATTAGTTGGCTTTATTCTTTTTAATCATTTGACATTTTGAAAGACTATTACTTCAAAACATAAATTATGTGGATTTAAGCAACGTATATAACCCCCTGTGCTCAGTTTCCTTATCCATAAAGTGAGGACGACAAAAGTGCCTATTTCCTACAAGTAAGTGTCTTAGTATATGTTATCAAAAGTTCCAGACAGACAGACATACATATAATACATATGTAGTATTAACTTGATGTAAGGAACTATAAATCTGACCCAGAGCTTCTGTAATTCAATTTCCTATTCTATCAAAGTTAAGAGGAAAAAGAAATTCCAGAGTTCCATTTTCTCAGCTTTTCCTTTTATTATCAGAGCTTATTCTTTGTGCTTCTTGTAATGCAATGTGTCTTTGCTAAAAGTTCAACTTCAGGCTTAACAAGGACAGAGAGAGAACACCCTTAACCCAAAAATTACAAAAGGAAAAAAAAAAAGATTTCTAAATAGGAATTTTTGAAATCTGTAAATAGAAAGCCCTTTTTTTTTGAAAGACCTATCAAGTGAACATGTTCCCTAATTTATTAGTAAATACTGGGCAGGCATATCTTTTTCACGAAGTTACTCCTTGGTGTGTCTGTGTGTGTGCGTGTCGTGGGGGGATTGCAGGCTCTGGGCCATTAGGTTCTAACACTTACAATATTGAAACTTTCTATCACTGGATGAAACAATCATGTATTGTAGAAAACTGTATTATCCAAGTGGTGTCTACAACGGTAATGGAAATGGAAAATGTCCAAAGAGAAGTGAATCTCTTTCTCAGCATTATTATCCCTCCAGTTGGAAAAAAATGATGAAAAGCAGCATCATACTTTGGAATCTTAACTTGGGCAATGAAGGATGATAATGCCTCTTGTGAGCATGAAGAAGGCAACTATCATTCAGACTGATGTTCAGAAAACATGACTGTAGATCTATTTCTGACTTTAATATGTATTTTTGCATGTTATATTATTAAGGAAAAATAACAAATGTATAGGTTAGGCTAATAATTGTTAACTAAAAGAAAAAAGGTAGTTTCCAATAACAGTTGGAATATTTTGTAATTGATTTAATTGACTTGGAATTCTAAATTAACTATTGTCCTTGTTTCCTAGAATTTGCTTGTTCATAACCCATTAATAATAATTTCTATAATGAGCTTGATTCCAGTTTACAATCTGGATTTGATTCGCTGAAAGATATTCATGTACACGGTCTCCAAAACCAGTCTTTGTAATGTCAATACATGCGCTGTCTGCCCGAAGCTGTGGAGAAGGCCATTGGCTTAGGGCTCTGCGGGGCTCTGGTTTCCTGCTCTCCGCTTACCTTCTATGATGTAGATGCACTCTCGGTCAGGGGGGTACTTGCTGGGATAGTTGGGAGAGGTGAAGATCCCTCCCTCTGCATGTTTTGTCCAAGTTCCGCACTGCACTGACTTCTGTGTTTCTGAGGTGGTTTGCTTTTCTGTGAAAACAATTGTAAAAGAGCCATCATCCAATTTTCTATAAAACCAAAACTAGAGAGGACATTCTTATAATGGCCATTAGTAAATTAATTTTTAAATGCTGTCTTAGTCAAAATCAATCAGTTATACACACTATAATATGTACAGATATTCCGGAATATAAAGAATATGGGGAAAAGAGGAAAATGCAAATCATTAAAAGTTTTCCTTTTTTTAAAGACACACACCTGCTCCTTTCTTGGTTGCCATAGACAAATGGAGGATGATTAAACTTGCTACAACTGAAAGAAGAAAGAAAAATTATTAAAAGATAATATTAATATACACTGAAATGATTAAATTCTATAACAACATAAAGATAAAATCATATCAAGCAGATGAATTTTATTATTGTCAACTGTTCCAACTTAATGCACAACTTGCAAAAACAGATTCCAAATGTACAAATCAGGAAAACTTATGAATCCTTTCAAGAAGTAATGCAAGTTAATGGATGAGACCCAAATCCCTAAGGTAAATGCATGCTACAAGATTCAAGAGGAAATTGTGTAACCTACTAATGTCATACTACAACAGGATGTCGGGAACCACTGTTCTAAGCTTCCCTTCATGCCTGGCTCTGCCAGCATCTCTGAAGAGACAGTGGGAGCAGGTAGCAGGATGAAAAGGAAAAGCAAACAGTGAAACAGGACTCTGGGGCTGCTCCTAGCACTAGCCAATGTTGTTAAACTTCAGAAAATAAATACTTAGGCAAATCCTATGGCGGGGGGCTGGGAGAGGGAAACAGGAGAAAAACAGATTAGTGTGGATTGGAGGTATTAGGCAGCAATATAAAAATGTACTGTACTCCCCCCTCCCAGGTAACCCCCCGGCTTTCTAAGCTACAAAATCAATCCCTTCTGGTCTTAACTTCATTATTTAGTACTCTCCAGAAATAATTATTTTGAGAAAGGTGATTTCCATAAGCATTTTATTGAGTCAGTTTTTCAGCATCAAGGAGGCCCTGTAGCAACAATAAATCTGGAAAGACTATTCTAACCTTATCTTCTGCCTTACTTTCATAGTCTTGATTTACTCAACAGTTTTATGAAATCTAAAACTAGAAAAGTAGTAAAGCAATCTAGGTTTGATAATTTCCGGTTTTGTCTCCCACTTTCTTTCTGTTATTTATTTTGTTGCCCAGTTACCTAAAAGCTCTAAGTGCCATTAAGTATGTAATATTTCCACTTAAAATTAATTTGTGAAAGGGGGGGGTATAATTCATAATGATTTCCTAAACTAAAGCGTACTACAGGAGCTTATCAATTTATGCATAGAGATTATTAGAAAAGTATGTGGACCTTGATATTAGTGTTTGAGAAATTACATGAATTCTATTAGTTTGTACACCAGCAGGCAACTGCTTTCAGATTACAACATCAGTTGTTACTGTGTTTAAATAGAAGATACCTTTAACTTGCCATGATTTTGCACACTCACACAAAACACACAGGCCTACAGCCCTCAATATCACGGTGCAGGTGTGCTGGTGTCTTTACTCTGCTTTTCCTGTGCTGATGGAATCACAATCGTGGAACAAGCACTGTGATTAACGTATCGGGAAAGCCAGTCTTGTACCGGCGTGGCACAGGATTAACACTCTAGCCTTTGCTTTATTATGTGAAATTTCCACTGTCTAATTTCTCGTATTGCCATTTGCTTGATGCCTTCTGGTGCTATTTCCTCCAATGCGTGCCCCCGTCAACTGCACGCGTTTCTCTGCGCTCGCCACGCAACCTCGCGGTCTGCGGGCCGGGAAAGCAGACACCTGCCGTCTGCCCGGGCGCTGCGCTAAGGTGCACCCTGAGCTCCCCACTGTAGGGGGAATGGGCCCGGCCAGCTCCAGAGGCTCCCGAGAAAGGAATGGTCTTTCTCCCCCACCAAGGGTGGCCCCGCTCTCTCCCTCGGCTCACCTGCGCGCCCACTCGTGCCCACTCCCCGCACGTG